ATTTGTATGTGCACACATTTGAGAATGAAAGAAAACAATGACGTGTAAATGAAGTTTGCAGAGGTTAATGAAGCAAAACACTCATTTTCTTCATGAAAGTATTTCCTTTCTGTGATTTCTCATTTCTGGCTGCTGCTTAAGTCCCAGTAAGCAGATGCTGTGTTCCATTCTGTCCCTGTTGCTACTTCTTTGTGTGTTTTGGCTGTGTTCAGTTTGTCTTCTTTCCCAGAGGAAGGCCTGCTGTTTGATACACCTGTTAACCACACTAAACAGGTGGCAAGCCTTATGGGCTTTTTCACCTGCAGGCTTTTGTCGTCCCGTGTCCGTCCCCGTCCCCCCCCCCGAATCCATTTGAGCTACCTGTTTGGAAGAGTCGTAGTTTCAGTTCTGATGCAAATTATTTAAATTACTGGAATTTCAATTGCTCAGAATTATACTGCGTACTAGTGGATAATACAAAATTTGAAGATACACTAAATCTTCCCAAATCTTTATTAGGATTATAATTACAATATAATGATATACAATGTAAAAATATAAAGCTATTGCTGATATAAAGACCATGAATGAGTCTCCCTGTTAGTAAATGTTAAGCTCTATTTTAATTGCTTGTGGATAGGACCACAGACTACTGCATCACTCATAGCTCTAGTAACATTTAGAAGTTACTATGTCCCTGTAGTGGCCTGGAAGTGGGCTGAACATGTTTCTGAATGCATAATCTGTATATTTAATTGCCTTTTTCAGTTTTTTTTAGTGATCTTTAGCTGATACGTAGTTCTGATGCTTGATAATAAGGTGTGACAAGAAGAGAGTGGGAAGATGTAATTAGCAGTCTTCATGTAAGAATAAAGACCAGTAATGGGGGGGAGCAAAACAAAACCAAACCCCCACCAAACTACTATTTCTGTAGTTTATCTAGATTTTGCTATAATATACATATCTTACACTGGGGATTTGTCGAAAATCTTTTATTATAGTAGTCTGTCTTGCTAAAGAGAAACATTGTTGAATACTTTCCTGACTCAGCCTAACAGAGAAATCATCAGGATTTCGCTTGTTACCTTCACTTTAAAAGACAGGTAATGAAAGGCCTTCAGAGAAGGATAAAGTAAGGTTTTGGTAAAAATTATCAGACCAGAAATAAACCCATGAAAAAACTAATCAGGGAGGAAGCTTGTATTTAAAATGGGTGCTAAACTGCCTGCAGAGTTTGAGGTTTTGGTCTTATTCTGAAGTGCATGCTGATTTGAGAATAAGGTAGTCTGTCAGATCACACACATTCCTATATAAAAAAATGCCAGCTAAACATTGCTCTCTAATATGTCTTGATTTAAAACTATATTAATACTTTATATTTACTTCCCTGTTCAAGGATCAAAAGCATTGACAAGTTGTTGTTGTTGGTTTTATGTATATTAAGCCAGTGTATTTTCTTTTATTAAAACTATTTGAGCATCAATAACTTTCTGAAATGTTGTGTAGAAACTCTTTGAAGTTTGAGGAGGAAATAAAACCTTGTATGTCTTTTGACATAAACTGATTTACATTTGAGACTATAATTCTTGGAATAGATGCAGATTCTCCCAAGTTCTGAAAACGGGCTATATAGCATGAACTATCTGAACATATTCAGCCAGATAAGTAGTCAGGATATACTGGAGTAACTCTGTATTTAAATGCAGATGTGTTTGTCTAAATTGATGTCAGCTGAGGGTGTATGCTGTAATGGCAAACATTTTTATAAAGGAAAGCATGGTTCAGTCGTTACTCGAATCTGTTAAGTAATTTTAACGTGATATTTAAGATCAGGCCCATACAAGTAGGTTTGAGTGGTGGAAGCCAAATAATGAAAACAGTTGATAAAAGCCCAAATCAGAGCATGTGGAAATCATATACTGTTCGAGGCAGGCAAGTTGAGTGTAGAGGCAGGCAAGTTTGAATTTGAAATAAACACAATTAATTGCAATAATAAGTGTAATAGCCACTAACTAAAAAATGGAAGCCTCATCAATTAACTGGAAATCGCTCCCTGAAATAAAAAAGAAGTGGTAAGTGCGTCTGACCCATTTACAACATCTAGATTCATAAACAGGTGTCTTTGAACACCCTGCCCTGCTACACAATGTTGGGAGTAACTAACATTAAAAATGTTGTTAATTCCTGAAGAAAAACTGACAAAATATATATCCATCAAAGTTAGTATTTGAAAATCTTGCTTACTAAGACTCCCCCGAGTAAAGCAACATGTGAATTTCTGTAGTTAATTTACTACTGTTTGGTTGTTTTCTTAGAACTAGTTGTTTCAAAGTTTTCACCCATGATGAATAATTCCTAATGTCTCAGTTTTTTTAAACAGAAAATGAGTCATGCTAACCTGTTTTAAGTAGGCTGTTGCAGAAATGAATTAATATGATAATATGACCTTGTGAAATTATTACTGTTCCTGTACTAAATGTTCTTATTTATTACCCATAGCATTTAATTGGTGTTTAAATAAATTCCATATAAACACCTGTACTTCAGAAACAATCAACAATTACATTGTGCAGTTACCAGAATAAATTCTATATTACTGATTCTCAGGATAGGAGGATTTCTGTGGTTGATACCTAGCTGATAAACAACTTTGCCTTTATCAGTTACTGTTCTTCATTAGCTTCTTTATTTCTGTTTTGGTCTCTATTAGTAGATTGCAATGTCTTTGTGTCTACTGCATTGTCTCAATCACAGAAAATACAGGACCTTACTAAAACTCAAGGATTTTGTTTTGCTTAAAGCAGAATTTCCTGTTCTAGTTTAAAAACAAAACCAAACACAAACAAAAAAAACCCCACAGCATAATACAGCCCATCGCTGGAAGCTTGTAGCTTTTTATTTTTCTCCATTTCCTGCTCCCTTTTGTTTGTGTACTAACTGGTAGCTCTTTTTCTGGAGGCCCCTATGTCACTCTGGTTGTTCACGCCTTTGTTTCTCTGCATAAATGTGTGATGTATAGATAGTGCTTATGTGGACGTCAGCATTTCCAAACCTTGCATGTGTTGCATTGCTAAGCAACTTTTAGCAACACTTATCTCTCGTCCTTATGCCATCTGGAAAAGAGGATTAGACAAGGAAATGTGCCAGAGAGAGACAAAGGCACATCTAAGAAAGAGGTGGCTTAATTACTTAAGAGAATGAGTGACATTAATAGTAGGCAGTCATCAGAATAGAGTGAAAGCAAGCACAATGCCTTTACAGGTAGCAATAAGGACCCACTGAGAAAGGTTGCATATTTTATACTCCCCTGTCATTTTTCCTTCCCTAGAGCAGTACACGGCTGAATCCTACTGCATGTTTACATACAGTGATGCAAGATGAAGGCCCCTATGATTTCAGTACATAATTTAGATACAATTCCTGTTATAGTGAGTTTTTTCTAGACCTTCTTCCAGTTGTTATGTACATTCAGGAGTATAACTAGCTGACTACTGTTTTAAAGGTCTCTTCCACTAAGGAGAGAAGATTGTGAAAATGCCAGTGGACCTTGAAGCTTGTGTACGTTTGTTAGCAACAGTACTGCTATCATTGGGATAATGGCTGAAGATAGCATCATATGCTTTAAAGTGAAGGAAGGAAGAGACCAAAGCATGGAAGAAATAGACCAAAGCAAGTAGTATAAGAAGCGTATTTCCAAAGAACTGCTTTGTCTTTGCTTTTATCTTCTAGCTTACATCTGTAATTGCTAACGATGTGAACAAAGTGCTAGAACTTTAGCCGCTAAATCCATCTGGAGTTTCAACTGGGTTCACACACATTTTAGAATTATAGTAGCACTTTATTTGGTACCTCTGCTGTTATCACGCAGAAAGCCAGATACCCAACTTAATAGAAGAATGATCACTTCAGATTTTAGATATTCTTATTCTCTAGTTCCTTATGTACTCTGACATTGGAAGAATGTTGTCTGATAGCTAAACATGATTTAGTACTGTGTAGAACAGTGACATTTGCTACTGAGTTGTTTTACTTCCCATACCCGGACTTTTGGCTGTACTTTGACTGTTGTCTGATTTCCATATCGGTTTCAACTCTATACTCTTCCAATAATCTGGGAACAATTCAGACTAATTTTCAGTGACAGCTCTATGATGTTTTTACACGTTATCTTGGAATAAAAGTGCATGCTACAATATATAGTACTATACTTTTCTCGTATCTGAAAATGAAACCAGTATTCCTGATTGTGACCTTCCCTGTCAGCAAATACCTGTGAAATGTCTGACAAACTTTCCTATCCTCCCCTAGTATAGGACCACAAAGAGGAATCGTCTGACTCTGCTATCAGTTAATGCTAGTAAAATAGTGGCTGTGACCTAATAATCTCAAGGTTATACTATATTGAGGAGGAGAGAGTACGCTAGAAAAACTACGTATACATCATGACGTAATTCTAAATTGCACGATTACGTATGCACATTTAATGTTGCTAGAAACTTTAATTGGCTCATACCTAAGCTTCTGTGGTATGTAGCTTTGCAGCCTTAGGAAACTTTAAACTTTTATGTAAAGTGTGTATCTTGAGTGAAATGCAGTCCAAATTTAAATAACTGAAGCTTTTTGGAATTGAGTTTGGTACACTATTTCACTTTTCACAATCTTTAAAAAGCAAAATAATGTGTGATTCTGTATGTGACAAAGCAGTTATTCATTCTTGCCATGTAATTTAATGCGATGTAATATATGAACTGAAGGACCTCACATAATAGTATCCCACAGTAACAAACCTTGGGCAAGAAATGTTTGATTCTCCCCCCTTTCCCCTTTAGAGGAGTGCCACATAATCCTTGGTGGCTGTGTGGTCTCCTATTCAACTTTTCACACAAATGTTGGAAGGGTATTTATAAAAAGCCTTGAGGACCACCCACTTTGCTATTGAAAATTGGCTGAAATAATCCCTTCTTTATAATTTAGCTGTGGTGGTGTTGAAATTTAAAATCCATGTGTATTTCTGTTTAAAGGGGCAGTGGAGAAATGACGTATTCGATGAACGGGGTGCTATAGTTAATTGTTCTGGTGACATCTGTGATGGACTGTGGATCAATGGCTACCCTGCTGGTACGTACATTCATTATGCTCTCCAGTTATTAACAAGTCTTTGACATAATGCTTTGGTTGTCCCTCTTTTGATTAATATGATTTGACTATAGTGTTTAGCATCCTCTAACTACTTGGTTCTCCTAGAATGCGTAGTTCTCTGGAGCAAGGGGGATAGCTATTTGACTGAGACCTTTCCTGAAGGGAGTGAGCTGTTCGTTCAAATTAAATTCACAACTACACTGAGGTATCAAATGTTCTTGTAATGGATTTTCATTCTTGCGATGAGGGAGAGTTTTTTAGGTTTAATAATGTGGATTTTTAATTTTAAAGTGAAAGCACTTTGGAATTAAAAATTTGGAAAGATAGCAAAAGAAACAAACTCTGTGTGTTCATGCACGGTATGCATGTGTATGAGAGTGATCCCAGTTAGTTTAAATTATGTCATTAGAAATAGTAAAGAATTGCTCAGCAGGTTATAATTTAAGCACAGAGCAGAAATGAATCCCATCGTAGTGCAAAGATATGGACTCAATGGCTTAATAGAAAGCTTTTCTAATCCAATTGACTTCTGCATGAGGGGACTGTTTACACAGAATATTGTAGTTCCAACTTGAGTGCAGCTGGTCAAGAGATGCTTGTAAGTAAATTTTTGTGTTGCCTCACTCAGATATGAATGTGTCATCTCAAAGGAAATGATCCAAAGAACTTGAAATACAGCATATAGGCATGTACTCTTGGTGTCAAGCAGCAAAACGTACGGAATGGAACTCAGAAGAACAGATCTGTGCAGCAGCCTATCTTAGGAATATTTGCATGTCAGAAGCTCTACTGTAGGATGTTGACACTCTAAAAATGAAATACGTAAATCAAAAAATCAGAATAATAGAAATCCCCGATTGATTGATTTCTGTCTTTAATATTAGACATACTTGTAATGCTAGGTCATGTTTTCTGAACCCAGAATGAAAATATGTATTTTTAGAAGCATTTCCTATAAAGGAGTAAGTTTTTGTAGGTTTCATAAGTGTCACAGTAAAGTGCTTCTTTAATTCAGTCAAAGTTGATAGTAATCAAAATTCATAGCTATGTTCAAACCCTATAAAATGTTGTGATGGTCTGCTTCATGATTAGTTAGCAGATGTTAACTTTAACAGGCCCTTTCTTCTGGCACTGTAAGCTGAACAATAAGGAATTGAATAGGTCTTGAAGAAATCGTTACACAATCATGGAAGTATTCTCTTCAGATTACTATAAGGATATATTTGAAGAGAGAAAATTTGTGCCGCTCCTGTTCATTGGATACTTAGAAGACTTAATTTTCCCTTTTCTCAGCAGTGCAATCATTTACATTCTGTGTTAAGAAAGCATGATATTCCTGTTTATCGCTAAAACTTAATTGTTTTTTAAATCTTTTTAAACTGCATTTTTGTGGCAGTCAAGGTTATTCACAGGACTTCAATTTAAAGTAAATGTCTAGATAAGTATTCCAGGCAGAACGATAGCTTGGCTTTCGTGAAGAAACTGCCTTCATTAAAAGGAATGATACCTTCTTTCCATCCTTCTGGGAAGACAGGTTCGCTTTAATGTCATGATTGTCCAAGCCAGGTATAGTTGATATTGTTTGCTCTGTCTTCGCGAGGCATTCACCTTCACAAGGACTGGAGACTCTGGATGTCTTGGGCAGCATTTTAGCTGTACGTTTTTGCTAGCTTTCTGTTGGAACTTTGCAAGAAGTTTATCTACCAAAGCTTCCAGTGATTTTTACTTAAGTGAACTATTTAGTTGTTGAGCTGCGTTTGTGTTACTTTACCTGGAACATATGATTGCTTTAAATTTTACAGTAGTTACACCAGGAGAGAGTCAAGGTCATAATTATTTCTTTCACTTTCTCCTGTTCCCTGAAACAACAAAGAGAGAAGAAATTTTACAGCTGCTTAATGCAAGAGCCTGCTGTTCTGAATCCATTCTTAAATAAACAACATAAAATTATGGGCAAAAAAAATAATGGGGAGGCTGCATGGGTGGCCTCTGTCAGAAGAGGCCAGGGGCTGCCCTGTGCTGGACACTGCTGGTTCCAGCTGGCTCTGCAACGGACCTGCTGCTGGCCAAAGCTGTCCCCGTCAGCAAAGCTGTGGCACCTCTGTGAAAACTTATTTAAGAAAAGGTAAAACACGCACAACAGTGAGGAGTGAGGGGAAGAAAAGTGTGAGAAGCAATCCTGTGGAGACCAAGGCGAGAGAAGGAGGAGGTTCACCAGGTGTCAAAGCAGATACTTCTCCTGCAGCCTGTAGAAAGTTTGCAAGAAACCATGGTGGAGCAGGTGCGCAGTCCGTGAAGAGGACTACGGCGGAAGAGATGATCACGCTGCAGCCCATGGAGGACCCCACGTTACAGCATGTGGATGTTTCCTGAAGGAACTGCAGCCTATGGAAAGCCCATGCAGGTGCAGGTTCTCCTGACAGGAACTGTGGCTTGTGGAGGACCTGTGTGGGAGCAGGGGAAAAACATGAGGAAGGAGCAGCAGAGAGGGACTGTTACAGACTGACGATAATCCTCTATTCCTCATCCCCCTGCACCACTCAGGGAGGTAGAGGAGTTGGGAATGAAGGACTGAGGTTGAGGCTGGGTGAAAAAGGACATGAGTTGAGGGAGAAGGTACTGTTTTAATTTATCTTTGTTTCTTGCTGTCCAAGCCTATCTTAATTTGCAATAAATAATTTTCCCTGAGCCCGTTTTGTGCATGCTGGTAATCGGTAAATGATCTCCCTGTCTTTATCTTGACCCATGAGACTTTTCATCTCATTTTCTTCCCACTGTCCTGTTGAGGAGAGGAAGTGAAAGCACAGTTGGGTGGGCATCTGGTACCCAGCCAAGGTCAACCCATCACAGATGTTATAGAAGATATAACAAATAAAGTTACAATGGATCATCCCATCTAATTGATTCTGATTTGGTTGAGATTTTCTTTCACTTGAGTCATAATTTTTAACTTCCTTCTTAATTTTACCCTTACTTGTTGTCATCAGGCATTTACTTTCCTGTATTTAATGCTGCTGGCCAAAACAGAGTTCTATTGCTTTTTTGAGTAAGAAGTACAGTAAGAGTGTTTTATACTCTGACTTAAAATCTTTACCTGAACTTGTAACATAGTGACACAGTAACAGTAAGATAGTTACTATATGAATGTGACATACTAATTATTGATTTGTTGTTCTTTTGATGATCAGCTGTAATTAGTCGTGGTCTGGAGATCTGGGCTGGCATCAGAAACCACCAAATCCCATCAAGGTCTGCTGCCAACTCATTTGAGTTAATTAAGAAACTGAGAGGAAAACAGTTAACTCCTGTGTATGTAGTGTGGGGAAGAGCCAATTTCATTATATATTTCCCTTGATTAATATGTGTATGCAGTAATCTAAAACCAGGTAGTTAGTTTGACAACTTGATAAATTACAGCAAATGTCCAAGTGTTACACCCTAAAAATAGTAGCAAATACCTTTGTTAGATGCTGAGGTGTTTTTGTGATTGTCAAATATACTTTTATAATGTAATATTCAGCCTTTAAAGAGTGGAAGTTGTTTCCTGCCCTCCCCTGCCCCCAACTGGTGGCTTCTGACTATTCAAGGAAGGATTTTGTGATCAAGGAAATACAGCAAGCTCTGCCTTAAAATAATATAGGACCATAAAAATCATCCTTCTAAATACTGGTTTGCGATCATAAGTTAATAATTGATTTCTGAAGTATTGATAAATCCCCTAAAGTCCCTGGAAACTGCTGAATGTGTTAGTATGTCTAAGAAGCCAAGAACCTTTAAATCTCACTGAAATTTGTTTCAAAAATCTCACCCAGCATTTGGTTTCTCTGTATATTTTTATAGAAACAATTTTCTTCTTTTCCCTGTCAAGGATAATAGCTGATGTCAGAATTGTAAATACTCAACAGTAATTATTTGAAGTACAGTACCAGATGAAATAGAATCTACAGTGAAATATTTCTTTGAAGCTGTGAAACTTGATTCTTTGTTTATTAGGGAAGTCACTGCTTTAAGTTTGTGCAGCATTTCAACCGAACATGGAAAACACAAGGAGTAAACTAAATGAATTGTATATCCCATTTGTCAGCTTAATCTCCAGTTTGGCAAAATCTAATAGACTTAAGCTGTTGGAGAGGTAGTTCTCAATAGTATGTTTACTGTATGTTTTCTGCTGTATACCCACTGTAAATTTAATATACTGAGTACCTAATGGCTGTCATGGTGAATTTATTCTTGTATTTGGTCTTAATTAAGATTTAAAAACCTAGCAGCACAAACAAAAATGTCAAAACTATTTTCTTTCACTGGATTTGAGTGTGTAAGCTATCTTTTGACATATGTTGCATCTGGAAACTGGGAACTGAAGTCTACTGTTTCTGTCATTAGCAATTCTGGATTTGCACTGGATGATTTACCAGTCCTTAAGGGAGATAGAGCCAGAATCTGGATCTGACACCCTATGTGGAGCAGGAGATGCTTCGAGCAGCCAGCATGGTAAGTAAAGATAATGGATTAGTTGACTGCTCAGCTTTTTAGTTAACTGGAAAATGAAAAAGTATCTTTGCATAGCAGTAAAATAACTTGAGAGCGTAAGAAACCGCCTTTGTAGTATAAACAGGTAGTTCTTAAGTGATTTTCTTTTTAGCACAGAGTGTTTAATTTCTCATAATAAATAAAACCAAAACAATTTTATGACATTGATTCCATTTTATAAGAGAAATCTATCCCTCCTAGGTTTTCCCTTCAGTTACTTCAGTCAGGCCAAGCATACTGGTGTGCAGTAAGATCAAAAGAGTTCAAGTAATAATTTCTGCAGTCTTAATTCATTTACCAAGAATGAAATAGGGCCTAAAATTTGAATCTGGAGTCCAGATTTTATACCCTTCCCTAACGTTCAGAAATACTGCTGGTGCTTCACATACTCGTAGTAACAACTTTGACTGGCATGTGGAACTGGTCCCATAAATGCAGCAGTGGGAGTGCTAGTTTCAGGAAAAAATCAGAAATATTCAGCCATATAGGCTTTTACGTCCATGCAAAAGCCATTTTACATTGGTATAAAATATTCAAGCAGATGGTGCAGGCAGAAATTTTTAATTTTTTCCTGACTTAATATTCTTCTGTTTCCTGTCATGTCTGATTTATAATTCTTGGTGAATGAACAGCCAGCAAGCTTTAACTTGTGAATTACTTTGGTGCTGGAGTAACAAGTACTGCTAGTCCAAGCAGTGAGAAGTTGAGAGTCAAAAAACCACTTTTCCTTCAGAAACACCCATGACCTGATTTGGCTTGTTAAGATTCTAAGGGTGGTGAATTTGGGTTCTGTTTATTAATATTGTGAGATTTGAAACATCAGAATTGACAAAGTCTTACTCTGTATCCATAATACTACAAGACATAACACCTTCCCTTGACCCCCTGATTGCAACAAAGAGGTTTAAGAAAAAAAACACAAAATACTCCAGGCCATGTAATAAAATCGCAAGAGTCAGTCACTTTGATTTGAGGTTTCAAATTTGATGCTTCGGAGGAGGCTTTTTGTTGCTGAGGTCTTGGTAGCTGGGACTGCAAAGTTAACTGTCCTAGCTATGTGTTACTTCACAAAATTAATTAAAAACAAGCAGTTGTTTTTGCAATCCATGTGCAAATCCTGTCTGTGACTCATGCAATTTAATCAATTAGAAACAAAATATCTTGTGACTCTCTGGATGGGGTACCATATGTTGCAACAGAAAAAGAGCACTTTTAGAGGAGGCCTTTCGGTGTTTTTGGAAAGATGACATTGCAGAGAAAACGTAGAAAATGTGTTTTGCTTTAAATATTAGGACTTCAAAACAAAAACCTGTAATTCTTTTACATAGTTCACTGAGCTAAAGATATTTTGGGGGATTCAAGGCATCCTGTTATTACAGGCAGTCAACCATAGTTTTCTAGCCTCACAGTGTCACTACTTGGGTATGCAAGTTTGTGTGCATGTGCACATGTACATGTGCTAATTGATGCATTTTGCTGTGCCCTTTAGGAGGATGAAATAATACATGTACAAATGATTGCTTTGTTTTCCATAATTTTGAGACATTCTTTTGTCCTGTGAAGAGATGGAACAACAAAGTGACTGTGCAACAGCCACACACACATTCATCCTAGCCATCTCTGTCTCCTGCTGTCCCACCCTTATCTTCATTCACACTGGCATGCGTAACTTGCAAAAAATTACTAGTTCATGCAGTTCTGTTTTGTCCATTTTCAGTTGTTTTTTAACTCACCAAAATAAACGGAAAATGCTTACTTAACACCTGAAGTGTTAAAGATATCCCAAAATTACCACAATTAAATAAATACATCGTCCTTTTGGTTGGCTTATTCCAAGGGCATTTCATTACCAGATCTTGGGGTAACACATAAAAATAATGTTCTTGCTTTTGTGGGACACTAAAACGGAAAGAGCGGAGGTAGAGTTCGGCACAGTATTTCCAGATGTCATCCTTTGGCAAAAATCCTTATCCAGATCAGGTAGATGCTTCATTCCAGTTGCACTTTATAAGTGAGAATAGTAGTAGTAGTAGTAGTATTACTCTGTATTCTCTACTAAGACAATGCAGATTAATTTCCATGTGTTTTTTAAACTTGAACTCTTTCGTATAATTATGTATGTAAGTAATCAGCCTTCTATGAAAGGGAGAAGCATTATAAGCTCAGGTGCTATTGATCACATGTGAGGTCAGAGGAAGCAAATGTGGACCTTTGGGGCATGGTATTTTTCATTTTTAGACTTATTCACAGGTCAAGTTTGCCCAAAGCAACATGTCTGTGATTGTCCCTTAATGTGATCATTCCTTCAGCAGGACTTCTTGGACCACAGAATTCTAGTCTATTCTTAAATATCGCTCAACCACAAATGTTTTCTTCCTTGGGGTTCAGTGATTAGAAAATGCCAGCTGCAGCAAAGTGTGAGGACCCCGCTACTCGGTTGTCTGAATTGTATTTAAGAGTGCAGTGTTTTTACAGTGCTGGGATTTTGAAGAATTAGGCTTTTATTTTTGAATCTTTAAATTGAGTTTTTAAGTGTTCTGTTGAGGTCACATGTAGAGTGATTTCTTCAAAAGATAACGTTATCTTTCTGAGTGTTCATGGCAGACAAAGAGTGGGACTTTTCAGAGTTAACTAATCATCATTGATTTCAGTGAACGAATTGTGTGTTTTGTCAGGGACGTTAGAATAATTGGTACGGGAAGGCAAGTTAGGTGAAGTGAGGCAGAGAGGGTAGAAAGAGTGGGGAAAGATGCCTAGGGGACTAGAAGAAAGGAAGGAGGGAAGAAAGAAAAGGAAAAAAGAATGACAACACTTGAACAGCTATTGAAAGATTCTTTTCTCTAGCCATTGCTCTACTGATTTCTCTTCTGATTCTTCTCATCTCTGCTTTTGGAGAGAAATGTTGGCTAACACTCAAAATACCTTTGGAGTAACTTCTGCCGATGGGTAAATGATGAGATCCTTGAGGCTTTTATGCATCACTGCCTAGAGTATGGATATAATCATGCAATGATGGAGAATCATCCAGTTTTTATCCAGTATTGATGAACTGTCAGTGAAAGAGTTCCAGGATGTTTTGTTGTTTAGTAGTAACATATATGTAGGTATTGTTTAAATATGTATGTTTTTCTATATTTCAATTAGGTAATGAGATCCATGCCCATGAAAGATGTATTAGATGTAATTTGACTGGAAAGCCTCTTTAGTCACTGTTTAGTAACATATATTTTAATGCTTACAAATTAATTTCTAGTAGTTTCATGGTGTTGGCCAAGCAAGTAAGCTTGGTATCAGTGCAGCTCTTTGGGGTTTGTTGGTTGGGGTTTTTTTTTTGCGACTAGTGATGTATTTTTACAACATTTTTTTGTTTCAGTATTAAATATTTTCCAAGACTCTTTTTAGAAAATGCAATAATGACTGCTTAAAGTAGGATTAGATACATTACTAAATAGGCTTTGAGTAGCAATGTTATCTCGGTTATTTCAGTTTGCTACACTAATGGAAGCAATGCGTGCGTGTTGAGAATTTTCTCCTCCATATTCTTCATGTTATTACAAGACAACACAGTGTAATAAAGAAAGAAATTTCTAGGCACTGATATCAATGACATAATGCTGCTAGTTGTCCAGATTGTTGTAATCCCTCTGTTTTACATTTGCTTCATATCATCACGTTTCTGCTGCATCAGCTAAAATATTTTTCATATTTTTGCATTGAAGAATGTTATTGTGCTACATGTCTTAAATTTAGGGGAATTTACAAGACTGAGTAACAAGCTTTCAATTGAAACCAGGGCTAGGAATGTACGGAGCTTTTGTATTAAGCCAACTCAAACATATCGCTGGTTCATTGTTTAGAAGATTGGAGCTGTAAAAAGCTCAAGTTTTGGCTCCTACTGTTTTTAGGTCGCAAGTGCTTAGCCTTAAGTATTCTGCCATCTAATTCAAGCTTATCACTATTTGATACTTTTTCTTCCTTCACCCACTAACTCCACTGAGTTCCAGTAAAAGTATATCTAATTGAGATACTTTTTTGAATGTTCATTATGGATGAATGGATTCCCTTCTTATTTTACCATTGTGCGTGTTCAACTCATAACATTGGATTTGAATGAGGAACAAAACACACCTAGGTGAAGTAGTAACCAATAATTTTAGTCAGTCATTTAAGCTGAAAGATTGTAGTTCAGGTAGACCTACATTAAAATTACTGTGTAAGCAGGATAGAAGACAAACAAGACTGGGTTTCCAAGACTGGAGCTCATGGAATTGTAGACAGTTTGTTTAACAAAAAAGGGAACAAAAAAGAGCTACTCTTCACATCATAATGTCATAGCTCCAAGCTAACAAAAAATTGGCTGTATGCATAAATTTAATCACATAATAAATGTTTCAATGGATTAAAATGGTGCATGTAACTAAATAGTCTGAGGGGGAAAAACTTATTTTGTGCCATTCCATGTTTAAAATGTTTTGGTTTTAATAATGTTAAAGTTTTCTTTATGGCCTTGATAATTCAGGAGAATACATGTTAATCTGTAACAGAAATAACTTGAGCATAAATGTTTTGAAATTGTCCTTTAATTGGCAGTACTCAATTTGATTAATTGAAGTTTTAGATTCATCAATAGTGAGAAAGTTTATGTAATGAGAGATTATCTTTTACAGGAATTCGTACATCGAAACTTACCAAAAAGGGGGGAGGATAAATATGATGATGATTTAGCTTTGGAGCCTGCAGGAAGGCCAAGCCAAACCTGCGTTTTTTCATATGTAGTTGGACATGTGACAATGTAAGGATTTGGAGCAATTTTATAGTTGCTAAAGCAGGGTGCCCCTTTTTAGACTATTCGACAAAAATGAATGTGTAACTTAATTCAGGAACAGCATCAGGTGACACGCAGGCTGTCATATGTTAGTTTAAAAAAAAAAAAAAAGAAAAAAAGAAAAATAGTTACCATA